GTAAGAAATAAAGATGAGGTGAAGGGACTTGCCCTAGACCTACAAAGTTCATGGCAGAGTGGGGAGTCTAATAGCTGATTCATGAATGAGGATTGTTTCCATATTTCAAATCAAAATTTAAAATGCATTTGATTTATGTCTTTGTTTAAACATAGGGTTTAAAAAACCGAGCATGCTATAGCCTAAAGTAGCAAAAAGTTTTTATGAACTCAGATTTTTAGCTAATAGTCCACTAAAAACCATAGCAATATTATTATCAGAGCACGGCATAGATATATTATTAAAAGCAAGCATAATGATGTGAACCTTCAGGTTACCCAGGATATTTTTTTAAATCACAAGCAGTTCTATTAGATATTTTAAGGTCACTAGGGAAAATTACATGCAGGCAAAGGAAAAAACTTCTGGAAAAGCATCTAAAGATAAGTTTGGCTTTTCTTTCTTATCTATTTCATTCCTTGAAAAATGTGTTGAACGTTAATTTCAAAAGATGGATACTATAGATGAAAAAAAGGAAGAAACAGAAATCCACCAGTTCTGAAATCATGGATTGAGTTTTGGAAGATGGTTTGATTTTGTAATCTTTTTTACTGGTCCTTTCTTGCCATTTGCCATCTTCTGATCAACTGGATTATACTTTCCCCTGAAATAAAATAAACATCAATCATGATTTTTCAGTCATCATTGTGTATGTGTAACAGAAACATTAGTTCGCCACAGAGGGAGAACTGTATGTTGCACCCAATTCCCCCAGTCCAGGGTCCATCACATGAAAATCTTCCCATGTATATTTTTTGCTTACAATGTAATCCTTGGTAGCCATATGTTATAATGTCTCATCTCACCCCAGCTGCAGAGGCATACAACTCATGCATAGATAGTCCAAAGACTGGAAACAGCCCATCAGTTTTGTCTAAAGATGAAATGGACCATTCTGATACTTGCCCTTGTTATTTGAATAGCTAAGAAAATAGACAGGGGAGGGTCACAAAGTAGAGCAAGGACAATAATAAGCAATAAGAACACACACATTCCTGTTCTTAGATTTCCATGGGATCATTTTTCCCTTCTTGACTTACAGATCTTTATAAAGCCAACTTTTCTTACACTCCTACTTGAGATAGCAAAAAGACTTTTTAGATCCCTGTAATGTACTTTTTTTTTTTTTTATGGGGGCTGGGTTTGAATCTGCCACCCCTGGCATATGGGGCTGGCGCCCTACTCCTTTGAGCCACAGGCACCACCTGCTGCAATGTGCTTTTAAAAATATTTTAGTTACAGAGTGATGTTAACAAAAAATGACTAAGGACTTGTCATTTTCTCCACTTCTCCATAAAAGCAATGAGAAATAGGCAAAAATGTCAGAAGTAACTTTTTTAAAACTTTAGGAATTAAGTGAGGTCTTACAGAAATCCTGGAGAATTGATAAAACAACAAGAAACAAACAGATAAAACTTTGTAAGATTACATCTTTGTAGCTTTTTTTTTGAGACAGAGCCTCAAGCTGTCACCCTGGGTAGAGTGGCGTGGCATCACAGCTCACACCAACGTTCAACTCCTGGGCTTAAGTGATTTTCTTGCCTCTCTTTTTTTTTTTTAATTATTTACTCATTTAACTTTTGTTGTTGTTGCAGTTTTTAGCCTGGGCTGGGTTTGAATGCGCCACCTCCAGTATCTGGGGCCAGCGCCCTATTCCTTGAGCCACAGGTGCCTTATTCCTTGAGCCACAGGCGCCTCCCATCTTTGTAGCATTTTAACTTACCCTAATGCCTACCCACTCTATTTTCCCCCTACACACACTTCCCCAGCTCCTCGGTAGCCTTGAAAACTGACAGCCCACAAGTGCAGTGAAAATCGGTAGCCTGGCAGACACTGTAAAAGGTAGAATGAGGTTGGAACTCCTTTAAAGTCTCATTCATTCCTAAGAGAATTTTCTTTATATAAACAGTCTGATGATTACCCGAAAGACCCAGTTACAAAGCAGTCTTTATTTGACCTGAGTTGGAGATGATCCAGTGTAAATAGCCTTTTTTCTAGGGGCATTTACTTAAATTACTAGAAACTTATCTTTAACTGATCACACCTGTCTAAGTCCATAGATAACAGTTAAGGCCAAACAAACAAAAATAAAAACAAGAAACAGGCTTGGCGCCTATGGCTCAACCGGCTAAGGCGCCAGCCACATACACCTAAGGTGGCGGGTTCGAATCCCCAGCCCGGACCCGCCAAACAACAATGACGGCTGCAACCAAAAAATAGCCGGGCGTTGTGGTGGGCGCCTGTGGTCCCAGCTACTTGGGAGGCAGAGGCAGGAGACTCGCTTGAGCCCAGGAGTTGGAGGTTGCTGTGAGCTGTAATGCCACGGCACTCTACCCAGGGGGACAGCTTGAGGCTCTGTCTCAAAAAAAAAACAAAAAACAAAAAACAAGAAACAAAAAACTAACCAGGAAGCTTAAAAGGAAAAGCTGAGAAATAAGTGCTAATAAACTCCAACATATTTACATATTTCTTGGAATCTAGAAGACTTACACACACGTGTAACTGTGTACATGCATAGGTCTACGTGCATACCCAAGAAAGACCTGAGAAGGCCGTAGGCTCTTGCCTCTGGCTGGCCTTGGGACTCTGTAAAACAGAAAGCGAAGAATAAAGTGGAGTTGTAATCTGCGTGGCTCAGTGTTGAAGATAGCTCCAACACATACACAGAGCCCAGGCATTTAAAGAAATCTCTGTCCAATCATTAGCTCACCACTAAGCTAACAAAGCAGAGACTTCAGAGGCCACACATGGCAAAGACTATAGACTCTACAGAATTATTTCAGATAATTCACTGAACAAGCAACAACAAAATAGTTACAACAACAACTGTGGGGAGGGGAGAAAATCTGATATACTGAGTGGCTACATTATATAAAATGTTCAGTTTCCAACAAAATATTAAAAGACATGCGAAGAGTAAAGAAAGCATGGTTCTTCACAAGACAAAAATTCAATTAATAAATACTTACCTACCCTGAGGAAGTCTCAGCAATAGATTTACTAGACAAAGACTTAAAATTCACCATTTTAAGTATGTTCAAAGAACTAATGGAAATCATACCTATGGACAAAAGTATGAGAATGATGTCTCATCAAATAAAGGATATCAATATAGACAACAATTATTCTTTAAAAAGAACAAAACAGACACTCTGGAGTGGAAAACTAAAATAACTGAACACTAGAGGGGTTCAATAGCAGATTCAAGTGGAGAGCAGAAGTTGAAGATATATCAATTCAAATTAGCCAGTTCAAGAAACAGACAATAAAAAATAAAGTAAGATGAATAAAGCCTCAGAAATTTTAAAACACCATCAGTATACCAACATATGCATAATGAGTATCATAAAAGGAGAAAAGAGAGAGAAAAGGGAAGAATATTTAGAAAACAGCAGGCAAAATGTCCTAAATCTGATTTAAAACGCTGATGTACAAATCTAAGAAGTCCAGCAAATTCCAAGAAGGATAAACACAAAGAGGTCAACTTCCAGAAACATCATAGACAAACTATCAGAAACCAAAGACAATAAATTGTGGTATATGTATACCATGGAATACTATGCAGCATTAAAAAAATGAAGACTTTACCTCTTTTATGTTTACATGGATGGAGCTGGAAAATACTATTCTTAGTAAAGTATCTCAGAAATGGAAAAAAAAATCCATGTACTCAGTACTACTGTGAAACCAATATATAATCACTCACACTTGCATATGAAAAAATGAAATACAACTATAGCCTAGGATGAAGGAAGAAAGGGGAGAGAGAGGGGAAGGGAGGGGTAGGTCGATAGAGGGAGGATTGGTAGGGGGACCACACCTATGGAGCATATTGCAAGTACAAGTTGGATCTATCAAGTGTAGAGCATAAATGTCTTAATCCTGTAACAGGGTAAAAGTGGTGAAGGCTATATTGTTTAGTAGGATGTAAGCATTCCAATTTGTACAAATGATAACACATTGAATCCTATAATGGCATAAATGTATTTATGATCTATGTACAAAAGACTTAATAAAAAAAAAAAAGAAACCAAAGACAAAGAGGATCTTGAAAGCAGCTAGAGAGAAACAACTCATTTGTACAGGAATCTCTAATAATATTAACTGATTCCTCATTGGAAACCATAAAGACCTGGGGGCAATGAGATGAAACATTCAGAGTACTGAAGAAAAAAGACCTTCAACTAAGAATTCTATACACAACAAAACTACCCTTATAAAATAAAAGAGAAATTAAGACAGTCCAAGATTAAGGAGAAGAACCTGGAGGAATTCATCATTAGAAAATTTATCTTGCAAGAAATATTAAAGGGAGTCTTTTAGTTAGAAATAAAATGACATTTGACAGCAATGCAAATCCACATGAACGAAAAACAAAATGGCAAAGGTGACTACCTAGGTAAACATAAAAAACAGGGAAAATGTATTTTTTGTTTGTATTTCTTTTTAAATTTCCTGATTCAAAACTAACTACTGTTACATAAAGCAATAGTTATAAATCTGTTGGATTGGCTTAGCACCTGTAGCACAGTAGTTATGGTGCTGGTCACATACATGGAGGCTGGTGGGTTTGAACCCAGCCTGGGACAGCTAAACAACAATGACAACTGCAACAAAAACAGCAAAAAAAATAGCTGGGCATTGTGGCGGGCACCGGTAGTCCCAGTTACTTGGGAGGCTGAGGCAAGAGAATCATTTAATCCTAAGAGTTTGAGGTTGCTGTGAGCTATGACACCACAGCACTCTACTGAGGGTGACACAGTGAGATGCTGTTTAAAAAAAAATTAAAATAAATAAGTAAATCTGTTGGATAGAAATAAAATATAAAGATGACAATAACAGTATAAAGTAAGGAGGAGGAGATAGAGTTATATGAAATAAGAGTTTTGGTATACTGTTGGAATTGAGTTGGTTTTAATCCAAAGAAAATGCTATGCGGCTATTATGCTGTATACTTCTTATTTGTTTTATACTTCTTATTATTTTTGTTATTGCAGTGTTATTTTTAATTTATTTTTTCTAATATTTTCAACCTACATTTGGTTGAATTTGCAGATGTGGAATCCATAGATATGAAGGATCAACTGTATAGAAATGGCAAAAAGGATATATGAAAAATGCTCAGTACCTTCTCAAAAGGTATTCCCATTGTTAAGGGATGCATAACTGTATACAAAATAATAAGAATAGAGAAACCTATAGAGGCAGAAAGGAGATTAGTGATTGCAAGGGGTCTGGGGGAAAGAGGATTAACTGACTGCCTACTAATTAGTATGGGGTTTCTTTGTGGATTGATAAAAATGTTCTGGTATTAGTGGTGATAGTTGTATAACCTTATGCATATAATAAAATCATTGAGTTTTATACTTTAAAAGAGTAAAGTTCTTGGTATGTGAATTGTATCTCAGTATGTATGTAAAAATTATTTTTTAAAAGTTGTATATTAGGAATAAACCACTTCCTATTAAAATGTTCTTTAGTTAACAATGTTTAAGGATAATTTCATCCTCTGGTGGAATATGGAATTAATCACAATCATTCAATTATATCTTATTTAATTAATAGCTCCTATTATTTACTGTATTAAATGCTCTTCTGTTACTT